CCACTTCACTATTGGAAGAAAGAGCTTATCTGCAAAATAGGAGAGGAGATTGGAGATTTCAAGGCACACGAGCTAACAAACTCTTCTGCGAGAATTAGGGTTGAGATCAATGGGCTCCAACCTCTTATCAAAGAAGCGATCATTGAATTGTATAGGGGAAAAGACGCGGTTATCGAGCTGGAGTGTGAAAAACTGGAGAAACACTGCTCTTACTGCAACAAACTCTCCCACGAAAGATCCTCATGCCCGGAAAAGTTACTGGATCAAGACAGAGTCTACACTCCCAAGGCCCAATCACCTGAAAGGAAGTTCCACAACATATACTATCAAGGGAAAGAGGAGAGAAAGTGCTCTTACTCTAAAATATACGACCGACATGGCAATCTCGGACAGAGACCCTCACGGAAGCTGGAATTTGCACCAAAAGGACTAACCCAGGAGACAGCTCGGGGCCTAGAGCATACAGCAAACCACTCCGGACTTGCTAATAGGGCCCTTGTGGATTCACACCCTTACCAGAGAGAACGCAACTCAACGCATAGGAATGACACCTTTCGCAAGAGTTACGGAAACCCCTTCGACAAAGAACATCACAGACACTCGAGAGCACCCCATCAAGCTAACAAACCTCCACTGACTCAAGTGTGGAGGGAGAACCTGGACCGCAAAGCTTTCCCTCCGCCAACAAGAGAGCTTTCAACTGCAATAATGGAAGATTTACAGGAGGTTACAGTCCAATATGTCAACTGTGGGGATCCAAAAGAAAGTGCAGCGAGAATGAAAAGAGTTCTAGAAGGAGAAAGCAAAGGCTTGATGGCTGAGACAGCTGCCCAAATGCTCGTGGATGCACTGTCAAACCATCAAAGCCAAGCCCTGACACAATGGGAACATGGAGGACCCTCACATAGGGGGCTGGGAATCCCACAACAGATAGAGCCACTCCCCCAAGCCCAATCACCAGAGAACCAACTAGCACCAGGGAAGCGCAAGAGAGGACAACCCCCAATCAAGAAAGCTGCAACAGTTGAACAACCCATGATCCTTTTGGCGGGTGAACCACAAGATAACCCTCTTCCAGAAGAAGCCCCGCTGTTACAAGCAGAACACGATCTCCTACCACCAATGGCTCAGTTTTCATCAAGGGCTAACCTGCGAAGGAAAAAGTCCAAATATGTCAGGATCTCCCCTCTATCACATATGGTACAAACTAGACCCTCACCACAAGGGCCCACACAGGGGAACAAACAGGGGAGAGGAGCGCCATCCCCAACCCAGAGAAACATACAACCGCAAAGCACCCTGTTACCGGTTATCTCCAAAGAGAATTCGGATTTTCAAGAGCCGCGAGATCCTCTTGCTTAGCCATTTTGAGCTGGAATTGTTGTGGGTTGGGGAATCCCATAACAATTCATCGTTTAAAGGAGCTCCACCGATCCTTGGCTCCTGACATCATCTTCCTAATGGAAACAAAGAATGGAGAAGAGGTTATCACTAAAAAACTCTCCTGCCTTAACTACAAATCAAAATTCCTCGTCCCACCTCACAGCCCCTGAGGGGGTGGCCTTGCTCTATTCTGGAAAAAGGAGATTGATCTAACCATCTTCCTGTCATGCGACAACTACATCGACACGGTCATCAAACATAAGGATAATACCTTTGCTGCCACTTTTATCTACGGAGAACCAGATTAACAGAAGAGAAGAGCTATCTGGGAGACACTCACAGCGATGGCTACCCTAAGAGATCTGCCATGGTTCCTCACAGGGGATTTCAATGATATAACAGACAATTCAGAGAAATCCGAAAGACCATTGAGAGCAGAAAGTACCTTTGGTGACTTCAGAGCATTCTTATCGCAGTGCTACCTCTATGATCACTGGCACTCCGGTAATCACCTTTCATGGAGAAGCGTCTGTCACAGCCATTTAATCCAATGTCGTCTTGATCGCACCATGTCCAACAGCGCGTGGGCAGAGCTATATCCAAAAGGTAGATGCAAGTTTCTTCACTTCGAGGGATCCGATCACAGACCAGTTGTCTCAATCCTGGACCCGGGAAAAAACATGAAAATAGGCCTATTCAGATATGATAGAAGACTGCAGAACAATAAGGAAATCACTAAGCTAGTCTCAGAGACATGGCTACAAAACCCTGCTGCAACGGTGGAACAGAGAATTTCGAAGAGCCGTAAAGCTATATCACAGTGGGACCATGAGCACTACCAAAACAGCCAAAAAGCAGTAGAGCGTGAAAAAGCAAACCTAGAAGCAGCTATGACGAACCCAACACACGATGAGGAAAGCATAAGAGACATTAATCAGAAGCTTAGAAAGACTTATCTTGATGAAGAGGAGTACTGGAAGCAAAGAAGCAGGTCTTTGTGGCTAGCATTAGGGGATAAGAACTCATGCTTCTTTCATGCCACCACCCTAGGAAGAACAGCTGTAAACAAATTCGCAGTATTAGAAGATAAGGGGAGAAAATTTGTTTTTGAGGAAAACGAGATAGTAGACGTTATAAACAACTACTTCCAAGACCTCTTCATTACCAGATCTTCTAACTGCAGGACCACAGTGGAACAAGCAATCACCCCATGTGTCACACAAGGCGATAATGAGAAACTCACTGCAGAACCTTCAACAGAAAAAGTTAAAGAGTCTCTCTTCTTTATTCACCCAGACAAGACACCAAGACCAGACAGTTTTTCGGCAAGTTTTTTCCAAACAAACTGGAAAGTGATAGGCACGAGCATCATAGAGGAAATCAAAGAAATCCTAGACTCAGGGATCATCCCGACAACGATCAGTGCAACTCACGTCCGACTGATACCGAAGACCCCAAACCCAAAAGCAGTGTCTGATTATCGACCCATTGCTCTTTGCAATGTATACTACAAAATCATATCTAAGATCCTCACAAAGCGCCTGCTACCTGCGATAATATCTGAAACTCAGTCAGCTTTTGTACAAAAAGAGCAATTGCGGACAACGTACTAATAACTCACGAAACACTGCATTACCTTTAGACTTTGGGGGCGTCAAAGTACTGCTCAATGGCTGTCAAGACTGACATGAGCAAAGCCTATGACAAACTGGAATGGGGCTTCATATCTGCTTTCTTAGAGAGATTTGGGTTCCACCCTAAATGGATAAATCGGATCTTGCAATGCGTCTCTACAGTCTCCTACTCCTTCCTCGTCAATGGAGCAGCTCAAGGCTTAGTCCTTCCACAGAAAGGAATAAGACAGGGAGATCCCTTGTCACCATACATTTTTATTTTTTGTGGAGAAGTTCTATCTGGTCTATGCAAAAAGGCTCAAACTAGTGGAAACTTACCGGGCTTAAGAATGGCGAGAGGAAGCCCTTCCTTTAACCACCTGTTGTTCGCGGATGATACCATGTTTTTCAGTAAAACCAACCCGGCTTGCTGCAACGCTCTTGTAGGAATACTCAGAAGGTACGAAAAAGCCTCAGGTCAGATGATAAACCTGCAAAAATCGGCTATCACCTTCTCTAGGAAACCCCTCAAGATGTAAAAAAGTCAAGCGAGCTCTGGGAATTGAAAAGGAGGGGGGGGGGGAAGGAAAATATCTGGGGCTCCCTGAGAGTTTTGGCCGTAAGAAGAAAGGCCTATTCACATAAATCGTGGATAAAATCAGACAAAAGTCAGTTTCCTGGTCACCTAGTTTCCTTTCCAGTGCCGGGAAACTTACCCTACTTAAGTCAGTCCTCGCCGCTATCCCGACACATTCCATGACTTGTTTCAAGCTCCCCACAAGCCTTTGCAAAAGGATTCAGTCAGGACTAACAAGGTTCTTCTGGGATGCGATACCCGGAAAGCGGAAGATGTGCTGGCTCTCATGGAGAAAAATTACAAGGTCAAAGAAACAAGGCGGACTTGGGTTCAGGGACATCCAACTTTTCAATGACGCCCTGTTGGCAAAAATCACACGGAGAATGCTCAATAACCCAGAGAGCTTGTTAGCAAGAATCCTAAAAGGGAAATACTGCAAAGAACAAAGCTTATTGGAGGTTCCGGCTACTTCTAATGCATCCTACGGTTGGAGAGGGATCCTCATTGGAAGATATCTGCTGCTCAAACAACTAGGCAGAGTCATCGGTAATGGCAAAAGCACCTCACTGTGGAATGACCCATGGCTGACAATCGTAACACCTCTACAACCGATGGGACCTCCAAACCTGCATACAAGAGACCTGAGAGTTTCAGACTTGATATGTGGAGAAACTCACAAATGGGACAGAGAGAAGATAGAAGCTATTCTACCAGAATACAAAGAGGCCATCCTTTCTATTCAACTAAGTAAAATATGTGCAGATGATACTTACATGTGGTTGGCAACAAATTCAGGGGAATACTCGACAAAATCAGGATACCACACTGCAAACGCAGAGCTGAACCCCCCTTCTGATCCTTAAGCGACCCCAATAAAGTGGAACAGAGACATCTGGCAAGGATCCTTCTCCCCAAAAATGAAAATCTTTCTCTGGAAAATCCTGCAGAGCGCTCTCCCCATTGGCGACAACCTTCTAAACAGGGGACTCCTGGACCAAGCCTGCTGTACCCACTGCAGTGAACTGGAAACAACGAAACACATATTTCTACACTGCACCTTTGCATAACATGTTTGGGCTTTAGCTCCCTTCACATGAGCGATCGACCCCCTCCAGATAAAGGACTACATTACGGGCCTTGTTTCTGTAAAAAAGACGACCTGTCTACCTCCAACGGGAGTCGGAGCAGGACCACTCTTCCCGTGGATATGCTGGGCCATATGGACATCAAGGAACCAACTCCGTTTTGAGGAAAAGAGGATCTCCCCAAAGGACACCATAAACAAAGCTATTTCAGAGGCGAGAGAGTGGCTTCTAGCCCAAATCAAGGAGGAGCGCGGCGACTACACACCCACTCACCGAACCCCCTTTCAAAACCCTCCTGGAACAGTAATCGACCACACAGATGCGGCATGGAAAGCGGATACCATGCAAGCGGGGCTAGGATGGGTTTTCACCAACGATGCGGGTCGGGAACTTCATAGAGGCCACAAATCATCAGACTGTGTGGGATCGGTACTGATAGCCGAAGCGTTGGCCATCAGAGCAGCTCTCAACTGCACCCTAGAAATGGACCTCACTGACTTGTCCATCAAATCAGACGCTCAATCACTAATATAAGCTATCACCTCGCAGGAGAAAATCTAGGAAATCTATGGACTCCTTTTCGATATCAACACTCTTGCTTCTATGTTTGCTTCGATTTCTTTTGCCTTTGTTCCAAGAGATAACAATCTGATCGCAGACGATATAGCCAAGAAAGCTTTAACCGGGTTTGTCCCCGGCTTTAATTCATTGTAATCGTCTGGTTTACTATTAATCAATTTAGATGTTCAAAAAAAGAGGGGCATATTGGATTAGTTATTTGGATAAATCCAAATCTATGAAGATTTTAATGAATTGAAAGTTTTAAAATGATTTAAACAGATATTGCCTTTTAAATTCTCTCAAATACCATCATATTATGTGGTATTTCAATCTATTGGTTTTTATCTCTATTTCACCTCTCAAATCATCCCAAATCATTTGTTAAAATAATTCATTAATGAAATCCTAAATTTCCAATAAGGTAAAATTTTAAAGAATTTGTATAAATGACTAATCCAATAATCTTGAATTTTAAGTAACTTTTTCAAATGCTAGGTTCAATAAGAAGAGTTTTGATAAAAAAATGAAATCATCACAAATCATTAATTCAATATACCCTACTAAATAATTTAAAATTTATATCATTTAGTTTTATGATACAATTTAAGTGATGTAGTCAATCCTTTTTTTTGTAGTGAAACAAGGGAAATTGACACATATGATCATATCAATGAGTAAAAATTTTTAAAAAACCATACCAAAACTGGAACTATATTATTATATGTATCTTTTACAATATATACCAAATGACCATTCATTTGAAATGGATCGAATCGATAACGCTAGCATAGGAAGATGTGAAACAGTAAGAAGTAAATATAGAGTTTCACTGTTGGAAATAATGTAACTCCAGATCGAATGTTTAAACCTCAACTCATACCATACTGTTTTGGTGTATATTGTACTATAATATAAGACGCGAACTGATGTTGTAAAATTAGAATTTACTTAATTATATTGTTATCCTAATTGTACTGCCATCATAATGAAATTCTTTACCATTTCAAATTAAAATATGCATATACCATGCGATAAGTAAATCATGGAATAGGAAAAAAAACAAAAAATTGTATTGACGTACTTATGGTTACTTTAGATTTCACAAATAAAACATTACGCCAACAACATAAATGAAATTCACATATGGACATGCTCCAACTGGAGAACACATTGTGGGAAGCTAAGCTAGCTTCTACAATAAGTGAATTTTCGGAATACCATCAAGGAAAGACTATTATATAGGATCAAGAATGATGGTATAGAAAGTTATGAAGTACTTAGTAGTATATAAATTAAAAAATGCAAGAACATATTCTATTCTATGAACCGTGATTTGATTAGTGGAAAGGTAGAATTTGTATCTTTATGTTTCGGTTTGGATCATTTACTGCACACTGACAATTATTTTCATTCATTGTTAAGTTGGGTAAAATTTTTTTATGCAATGGAACAAAGGAATGTGGAGATTTTATGGTATAGAATTCTTGTTTATAGTCACACATTCGAAGTGTAAGGTTTTTACGATTTTTAAATTATTTTTTACCAGCTAGTTATAATATAGAACTATATATGAGATAGGACTAGATAGAGGTACAAACAACAAAAGCTACCTCTATATAGGTACGTCATCCACTACTTTTACCTATTGCTTTGCCGTCTAAACGCAGAGGATATTTTCGAAAGTCCAGATAGAACTTTGGTTATTGAGTATATTGAACATCATAGCTATATTCTCCAATTCTTTTTCTAATATGATTATTTGGCTAAAAAGCCCTTTAAACAATTTGATCTAGTAGTTGACTAAGTTATTATTGATTTTGGGTGCACGCTCAAAACTGAGAGCATCTTTATTAGAGAACTTTTAAAAGTTTTTAACTTAAAAAAGAAAAAAAAAACCATCTATTATATAAAGAGTCAGTATGTGTTCTATAAGGGAATGACACGTCAATATTGTTAGAGATGAGATTCGTATCATCTCTAAAATCCCAATATAAACTCTGATCGGTCTATTTTAGGAATTCAAAAAATATCTAGGTTGTCAAATAAATGGAAATCTTCCATTTATTGGGCTGAATCCAGAAAAACAGAAGATTAGCCTTATCAGCAGAAAAACTTTCCTATTTTGGATATACGTAGAAGACCGACCGGATCGACTATAAATAGAAGAAATCCTTGACTTCTCAGATCATCCAAAAATCCTCTCTTGAGACCTAAGGCAGGCTAAGTAATCTTATTGTTCTTAGCTCTCGATTTTATCTCCATAAAAGTTTAGGTCGGTATTTTTATTCCGACGACCTAAACCACCGTGTACCTTCTCAAGCTCCGGCTTATTCATAATAAAATATCTCTCTTTAAACCCACAAACTCATGTTCGTTCTTAGATCGGATTTGAGTTATCATAGTTGGCGCCGTCTGTGGGAAATAAGAGATTCAATCTTTAAAAGAAAAGCGGAGCTTGAAGATGGTTGAAACACCTATCAACCCCGATGCTACCAACCTCACCGGAGGAGCCCCTGATCTCACCGGAGGAGCCCCCGATCTCACCAGAGTCAACACCCAGGAGCCCATCATCGACCAGTGGTCAACTAGACCAACCTGCCGGAAGATGACGCGGCTGCCACGCAGAACACCCGTGAGACAGACCAGGTCGGCCAGACTGACGGAACAAACCAGACCGACCTGCCACAGCCACCTCCCATCGATATGGTCGGCCTCATCAGATCGATCGCGGCACAGCTACAACAGGGCATGGATGCTCGGTTTGAGTCCCTCCGCGCCGAACAGATCGCGTACCGAGAGTACCTAGATCGGCTTCTCAATGCTAGGGTTCATACCCAAGAACAGGCCGATCTGACTACACCCACACACCAGCCGATCCGCAACGCAGAAACGACGAGGCTGGTGAATAACCTGTTCGGCACCACACCGACAGATGACCTACAGAGAGCACAGGTGGAAGGCTTCAACACCCGTTCCGAAACACCACAGGTGCCGATCTGACGACAGCCTCAGAGCTTGATCTCCTCCACCAGTGCCTTGACGAAATAAGTACCAAGGTCCACAAAGCGACGACGTCGGCCCTGGAGTTAGACAAAATACTCTAGCAGACGCAGCAGACACCGTTCACGTCGGCCATCACCAAAGCCCCACTCAAGGACATTGGACGCATGAAACTGCCTCCCAACTATACTGGCACGACCAACCCAAAGCGATATCTGACCGCGTTTAATGCAGTCATGGGGTGAGCTCTCTTTACAGACAAAGAGCAAGATGCGTGCCTTGGTCAGTACTTTGTAGAGTCGCTCTCTGGAAGCGCCCTCACCTAGTTTTCGCAGCCCCCTCCAAATTCCATCGACTGTTACAAGGAACTCACGAGTCACTTCCTCAAACACTATTCGATCTATATCGACGTGGTATCTACAACACTCGATCTATGGGCATGCGTCCAAGGCGACACTGAGCCGTTGCGCCATTACATCAATAGATTCTGATCCATGGTCTCCCGATGCAGCTTGTCAGACGAACTCTTTCTCAACATCTCGATCAGAAATTTGAGAGACGACCAGTCCTACTGCGAGAGGTTGAAGACTGGCAAAACTAAGACGTTGGAATATGTTTTGCATAAAGCAAACGGCTACATCAAGCTCGGGGAGGACAAGGTGGCCAAAGCCAAGTTAGCCGACGAGAAGACTTCGCGTGATAAGAAACACCTGTCGTCGAATCATGATAGCCATCAGGAGCCTCGACTGCACTATGACAGAGACGATAAGAACCGCAAGTATATCAACGCTGTCGATCGACAGACGAGGTGGAACATTTGGGATCGCCAGAGCACCAAAGATCCCAATAGGAAGAAGCCGTGGTGCAAATACCATAAGGCGCACGACCATCACACTGATGATTAATGTACTCTCCCAGCCCTATTGCGGAAGGCATGGGAAGATGGTGAATGCACCATACCAGAGCCCCGAAGTCTAGCACGACGATCTGATAATGATTAGGACCGGTGACCTGACAGCAATCGAGATAGAAGATCTGATGTTGATCATCCATCTACCAAACACGAAGGGAAGGAAACAAAACGGGATCGTGAGGAAGACCACACACCTCCGACTTTGCCTCGACGACAGATCAACATGATGATGGGAGGACTCCTCTCATGCACATACTCCATCAACTCAATCAAACGGCACGAAAGAAAAGCCACTAATCCACCAAAGGATGCCTCACCATTGTTCAAAGATAACCTCCTGATCGTGTTCACCGAACTGGATGCGCAGAATATAGATCGTCCGCACAATGATTCACTCGTCATTTTGCTTCGGCTCGGACAAGACAACGTTTCGAAGATATTGATCGACATAGGAAGCTTGGTCGACCTCATCTTTATGGACACGCTACACAAGATGAGCATCACCGAACGAGAAATCAAAATCGCACCATCACCCCTCACTGGATTTGCTGGAGATTCAATCTCGACGATCAGGACCATAACAATGCCAGTTACCATATGAGGAAAATCTATTACGGTCACATTCGAAGTTATTGACAGACCTGCGATCTACAATGCCATTTTGGGAAGATCCTGGCTGAACGCCATGTGAGCCGTCCCATCTCCCTATCACCAGTGCATCAAAATGCTGATCAGACAGTATCTCAGCATTGTTACGTCAACAAACAGCGCGCCCGTAAGGCATCCACGTTCGTGATCGACAGCAGTAATGACTTCGATCCACGTACAATCCACCACGAGAAGCCGAAGAGCGACCTTATTATTTAAGTCAACATCTACGTTGCTCACCCCGAGCGTTGCGTCTGCATCGGCACAGAGCTATTACCATGTATGCCGGACGAGCTGTTCACTTTCCTCTGGGAGAATGTTGGAACGTTCGCATACAATGGCCGATATGAAAGGCATCAGCCCTCAGATTACCGATCACGAATTGCACATTGATCCCACCTTCAAGCCGATC